CGTTTCGATTGATAAAGTGGTTGTGTAACGATCGTAATTTTAAAAATTGTCATTTTTTTTGCACACCACTGTATATAGATGGAATTGGGTGACTGGTGATGTGATGATGAATTATTCTTCTTTATCTCTTTATCTTTCCAATCTTGAAAAGTTGACGTTTCTTGCAACCAAATATCCTTCGTTGATTAAAGTTGGTCCTAACTTTATTCCGTGAAAGAAAGCGTGTGTATATCCCATTATACCATTTCTTATTGCATTACAAATGCCAAATTTAATGTATATTTAAAATATGGACTTAGTTTTGATAGAATTTTGGAATTTTGTATAGAGATTTTTTTTTATATTTGAAATAGAATTGCGTGATTACGATGTTTTAATTTAAAAATGTTTAATAAAAATTTTAATTTTTTTATGTATTTTTTTTTGGTTTGAAGTTAAATTTTGTCGGAATTATGGTCAATTTAAACAATCGACAAAGCCCAAGCCATGAAAATATGGCTGTGTAAAAAGTTTTGTTATTGTGGGCGGAAATTGGCGTAAGTAATATGCAAGGTGATGTAAAAACCACCCTATTTTTTTTTATACGTTATCAGATCACGAGATATTTTTACTTTGTTTTACGATCATTAGATAAGTGAACGTCAAAATATAAAATAATAATGCAAATTACAAACAAATCTACTTTTTTTATCCTTGAAATTTACTACCAATTTGGAAAATCATTAGGATCTTTTAACATTAATGAAAGGGACTTTTTGATTCAAAATTAGGTAAAGTTCTTAATTGATATTCAAGGTGTAACATTGTGAATTTATCATGCATAAAATGCGTTACGCTCATATGATATACGCGATGATCCAACTTCATTTTCTATGAAACCGCAAATTTATAAGAAAGTTTATTTATTAAAGAATGTTACGAGACCCATAACGAACTTTTTATTCGTCACCTTAATTCCTTATAAAAAATGAGCGTTCAGTAAACCAGATGACTCGTCACACTTTCTAGACAAAATACTTTTTCTTTTTTTTTGGGCTTTGCAATTTTTATATTCCAAAATAAATAAAGATTAAATCCATTCGATGATATTAAATTACCGCTTATAGAATAATCTAGCACATGTTGCTAAACAAATTATCGAAATTTTTATTCGTGAATTGAAAATAAATGTTACACAAATGATTTACTCACTTTTAAAGACCAAATTATTTTCAATTATATACGTACAAAGTCAATTTGATCGACTGTAAATCGTAGTAATTTATTATTTTTTTTTCAATCAATTCGACAAAGGATATTTATTAACTCAATTAATTATATAGAACTCTACCATGAGGCGTCTTTTTTCCATTTTCTCAAAAAAAAATTTTAATTTAAGAAATTTTAAAAAATAAACTTTACAATGATTTAAGTATGAAGGATATAACTGTTGAGGTTTCATACATCGGACGGTTTTATGAAATAAAGGGGTTTGAATCTGAATAAATCAGAACCGATCAAATTCTAATTATCAGGAAACCTGACCTAGAAATTTTGGCTAATGCTAATTAGGTGGTCGTTAAAGGGAGAAATTCCTTAATTATGATTGGTTCATTATAAAACATATGGGAAGTTGCTAGGAAAATCAGGTTCTGGGAATTTTTTTAATGTGATATTAGTCAATAATTCACAGAACCTGATTTTCCTAGAAGAAAGATGTGCATTATGGTCGTTGTCTTACATCAATAATTTTATCTATTTTAAGTGTATGTAAATCAACTTCTTACGCGTAGACCCATTGATCTTTTTACGAAAAGTATAAAAATGCAGGTAAATTTTAGATACAAGAAAATATTCCAACTTTACCTATTTACATTCTTTATTACCTTTTTACGTTCCTTACTTTCCTTTCCTTCATTACCTTCTCATGCCCCTTAATCATTAATTACATAATTACACTCACACGTTTATTTTAAAAAATGGTTAAACTAATCGAAAAATCATTGTTACTCCTTTTGTTTATTGAAATCATATTTGTTGAAATTGTTTTTTCAAAAAATTTCAAGGTTATTCCAAATAATAAAGGGCTTAAACCTTCAAAAACCTTCGTGCTTTTTACAGACAGCCAAATTCCAAATCTCAAGTTGGAGGGTATCATAAAGCTGAAGTTTATTTTAAGACCAAAGTTCCATCATTAAATCTTGATCAAAGTGGAGTAACCGATATCGATTGTTATGATGATGATAAAATTACATTCCAAAGACATGATGTTAAAAAAGTTCATCAATGGCCCGATAAAGTTATATTAATGATTTCTCATAAATGGAAATGTTTTGGCAAATCCACAACACAATTTTTTATGGTAAAAGATAAAAAGGTTGATATCAAGAATAACAAAGTAATTTTATCCACGGAAAGGTGTGATATTCAAGATTGGTCCCAAGAATTTATTGTTGATGATTCATGGGAAAATGGAAAACAAAAAAAGAATTACAGAAGGATCGACCTTCCAGACATTGACATATCAAATACGTTAAGTTTAAATGTTTTATTTGATAAATCGAAAGGGAAAACATCAAAACCTGATATTCCACTTGGGGAAATCTCGCGTACCAAATTACTTTGCGCAAATTGTTTTATGAACGGTGAAGCTACAGTTTCATTGAGAATTGCCGCCGAATTTGGTTTTTTCTCTGGATTTGAATTGACTGATGCATCGATTGCTCTTGATGGAAATGTTAAATTAAACGTTGATCATGCCCTTGTTGTTTCATCTGAAATTGAATCCGTTACAACCCTTGCCACTTTGCCGATAGGAGGCATTGGCGTACCAGGTTTATTTAATCTTGGACCTTCAATAGATCTAGTGGCTTCAACTAAAATAACTGCCGGCGCAAATGCAACGATAAATTTTGGTGGGGACATAAATTTACCTAAATTTCATGCAAAGGCCACATTTGTTGATTTTCCGCCAACCTTTGAACAATCTGGTTTTAATCCTGTTGTTAGTTTGCGTAAACCCAAGCTTGATATCGGCGCTCAACCTAGAGTGTCAATTTCCGGTGCATTAAAACCACGAATTGCCTTTGGTCTTAGCGTATTAAACGATAGGCTTGTAAGAAAGAAAGTTGGCATTGAGTTAGTTGGACAACTTGACACTAGCATTATACATGGTAAAACGAGTAATTGTGATACAGATTTAAATGAACGCCTTGAATCCTCTCTTAATGGTAATTTAGGTTTTTTCATCGAAAATGATAACTTTCCTATTTTCAACTTTCCTTCTAAAGGTTTATTTAATGAATGCATTTTATAGAAAATATAGATTTTAATATTTTATTTTTGATTGATTATTATTTTATTTTAACATTTTATTTAAATTTTTGGAGAATTTTATTTGCGTTACTTTCATTAGCGGGACGTGTATGGGGGGATAAAGGATTTTTCATATAATTATTAATTCAAATTATTATTTTTGAAAGCGGTATTTTTGTTTCATTTGAATAAATAATTTTATTTTTATTAATCAATTTATTTGTAATAATTTTTTTTTTTTTTTTTGATATTTTATCATTGTAAATTTATGAATTCTTCATAATTATAAATTTGCATTTCGTAATTCTTTCTTGTTTCCATACATTTTTTGTTCCATTTTATAAATACAGCGCTTATTTTAACTTTTGCAGTTTAGGTTTAGTTGTAAAAATCTATGCTCATTACTTTGGAAAATTAAAGTAATTCAATCCAATTGTGAAAAAATAGTGTAATAGTTATCCAAAATCAGTTAATATTAGATTCAAATTGTGCTGCTTTTATTTACCAAATTACTAAAGCGCAATAAAAATGGAACAATTCTTCATTATTTAGCTTCTGTTTTCGGAATCCTATTTTATGATCCTTCCCATTTCCAACAATGTCCCAACTGTCTCATAACTTCATTTTTTAAATAAATTTACAGTATATAAATTTAATGTTATACAACCAAAAAATCAAATATTCCATAATTTGAAAATATTAAAACATACACATATTCTTTATTATGATGACGTCATGATGGCACAATAATATTTTAACGAAAATTTGTTTGTGGTCATATGATACGGCTTCGTTATTTGTAAAATGGGGCTTCTTTTTAATAAACAAACCAATAATAAATAACGTCATCGTTGACAAATAAACTTTCACCAACTCTTGGAATGTGGCGCATATTTATTGCGCCTCATAACAGATAAACTTTGGGGTAATAAAAATTTTAAAAAATAATGATTATGTTTGAGTTTGGATAAGCCAGTTACATTGCTTGTATATCGGGTAAGAGGCGGAGGAACATAGCTATAACTCACACGCCTTAATTAGCACAAATAATTAGCGCAATTATGTAAAAAAGTCAAATAAATATTTATTGTTTATCCGCAATATGTATTGTTATATCCTGGATAAGTAAAAATTTTACTATCCCAAATACATAAAACTTCCAAATCATCTATTTCAAAGGAAACATATAAACGTCTCTCTATTAAAACTTTACAAAAATATTTTACTACATCTAAACCTGTCAATAATAATAAAAAACAAGACTTTGATTTTTCAGATGTGAAGAATTTCTGAACGATACACAACCAGACATTGATTTATTAACTCTTTATAACAAAGGGCTATTGTATTATTATTATTATGTGAATTTATTGTGATTATTAAAACTAGAGATAAAAAAGATTATTAAGCATATTCATTATATAATGGAATTTGTACTATAAATCGATTTTATCAAGAATTACTCAAAGAAAAATATTCATAAAGATTTTGAGTTTAAAATAGTGCATGATATATTATATTCTAATAATTAATTTGAAGAAATTAATAATGGTAAATGCAATGGTGCAGATATTCTTATAGATAAAAAAATGTTTAAATTTATAATCCCCCTAGTATTTTAAATGAAAGATCAGATAGATTGCTTAAAAGAGATTTTATGGATAGATGTTATATAGCATATAGGAAAGGATCTTATTATAATATTATTGTTAAACATTTTAAAGAACATAATAATAGAGGATTTGATATTATTACAATTTATGATAAACTCATCAAAAAAGTAATTTTCATCAGACAAACTCCAATAAAACACTTAACTAGATGAAATTAAAGATGAAATTAAAATAAAAAGTATACGTTATGATATTAAAAAATATTTAAATTTGCGACCAAAAAATGCTGAAAAATTTTTTTTTATATTAATAAAGATTCTAAAGGTAAGATTTTATTAAATAAAGGATTATTAATCACTCTTTATGAAAGCGTATAATATGAGAAAGTTATGCTTAAATTTCAGTTTTAATTAGATTTATTTTGATTTAAAGTATAATACTTTTTTAACAGAAAATTGCATTTATCATTATAATGTAAAAATTAAAAATTAAACTTAAAACACAAAATCATCAAAATAAACGAATTTTTCAAATTGAATATATTAGATATAGTAACTAAAAAAACTAATGAAAGATTAACTTAACAAAATGATATCAAAAAATGAAAAAGAATATAGAAAACCAAAAAAGAATTTATAGACAAATTTAAGAAAGATTATTACTTATTAAAATATTTAAATTTGTCTGATATAAGTAAAAATATAAAAAAATTTTCTTTTGATACTTCTAGAGAAGTTGATGAAAAAAACAAAAAATAATATACAAGATGAAACTATGTTAAATAATATTTAACAAATAAATATCAGGAACAAAATAACCAAAAGATTATATAATAATCCTATTCACATATAACGTAATAGAAAATAAAAAGCTGATATCTTTATTCATACATAAGAATGAAAATTCTAGAATTATTAAGAAAATTGATAAAAGAATACTTCTATTCAAATACTATTAGAACTAAAAAAGTTAGATGCAAATTTTAATCTGAATGAATACATAAAATCTTGATATAAAAATGAAAAGACAAAATTGAAACATTTTTCTTATTATAGATAATGCTCTGATATTACTCTTTATAAAAATACCTGGACTAATATCACTATTCAATATCTCCTTCTAAACATTACAGCATATCTTAAACCTTGTGATTAAGGTATTATAAATAGTTTTAAAGTGAGAAATATAATTGATTATATAATTTTGAGCTTTTTTCATTATTTTATTTTGCTAAATATCTAAACCATATGCAAGCTATTTTATTATTTTTCTATTTTGAAAAATGATTACAGTCAACTCTTTTTACAATGAATTTTAATATAACAAATTTTACAATATAATGAATTTTTAGTGTCAGACAGATTTTTAAATATAAAAAATACTTACTATACTAAATTTAGTAATTAAAAATTTGTACTATATTTAACAAATTAAAGTCAGAAAAATTTATACAGTCAGACCTCTCTAAATGCACCCCTTCGGAACTGAGTAAAAAAGTGCATTTAGAGAGGGTGTACATTAATGGAAAATATACATTTTAACAAATTTTTATAATATAATTACTTACCTTCGAACGATCCAATGCTTGAGAATCCAGTAGCTACAAGAAGGTAAGTAATTTAATATTAGATTTTTTGATTGATTAAAAAATAA